CCAACATTTGAAATCGATAGAATTGGTCCCGAGTTTGTCCATATTTTGATCATTTAGTGAAAAATCTCCATAAAATAAGGATAAAATGATAAAAATACCCTCAATTTGGTCAAATCGTTTTGGCCTATTGTTTATTAAATTGAGGATAATTTTATTATTTTGATCCTTATTTAACTTACTTTTTCACCCATGGATCAAAATGATTGATGGTAGACAATCTCAGCGACTCCTTATATTGATTTTAAATCTCATGGACTAAAGTGATGAGTTATGCAAATCTCAAGATCATTTTGGCTAAACAAAACCTTTTACTTAATTTAAAAAGGGGTTTTTTTAACTCTAATCTTCAAGAAGATTGAAATTTAAAATAAACCTGATGTTAGATTACATATTGATTATAATCCCTTAATGTATCCTTAATTCAAAATAGTTAATGTGCATTTTATTTAATGTCTCCTATTAAATATTTAAATTTATTATTATACAAAATTTTAATTTATTTTTTGACCAAAAAAGGGTTTTTTTTTAATTTATTAATTTTATTTAGCATTCTTAAAACTTGAAAGACTCAATTAATGTAACTAAATGTTAGTACCGAAATGTGTGTATCGAAATGTATTATATTTAACTAATGTATTTAAATATTAGTACTGAAATGTATGTACCGAAATATATGCACCAAAATGTATTATATTAATTAATGTACCTAAATGTGTGTACCGAAATATTAGCACCGAAATGTATGATATTTAACTAATGTGTTTAAATGTTAGAACTGAAATATATTATATTAAATTAATGTACCTAAATGTGTGTACCAAAATGTATGCATCGAAATGTTAGTACCGAAATGTTTTATATTGAATTATTGTACCTAAATGTTTGTATCGAAATGTATGTATTGAAATATGTGAATCTAAATGTATGCATTGAAATGTATTATAATAAATTTAATGCACCTAAATGAAGAAGACAAAGTACATCGAAATATATTGTATAACAAAAATTAATTTATCTAAATGTTTACAACAAAATATATTACGATAAATGAAATGAAAATGAAAATTATAGTGAAATAAATTAATACATTAAAAATTAGGAAGAAAAAGAGAAATAATTAAAAAAATAAAATATAATTAATAAATGAGGTTATTAATGTTTCGAGTGACAAAAATTAGATTTTGATCTTATTCATGGTTTTAGTCTAAAAATCATCTTTGCCAAGGATTAAAATCTAGTTTTCTATAGGGGTCTTTGAACTTTAATCCTTCAAGAAGATTAAAATTTAATAAAAACCTGGTGTTAGATTGAATATTGATTTTAGTATGTACTGAATTCAAATTCATATTATATTTTTGTTTTTATATTTAATAGATAACTTATTTAATGTTATTACATTAAATTTTAAATTCATTATTATACACATTTTAATTCACTAATTTTATTTAACTTAATGAATTTTATTTAACTTTATTTGATTAATGTACCTAAACTTTTGTATCATAATATATTTTACTAAATTAATGTACCGAAATGTTTGTACCTAAATATATTGTAGTGAATTAGTGACACATAAGAAAATATGTAAAAACATAAGTAAATCAAAAATTCCGTACCTAACTATATGATGCTAAACTAGTGTACCGAAATGTTGGTACTTAAATATATTATACTAAACTAGTTTACCGAAAGGTCCGTACCTAAACATATTATACTAATCCAATGTACCTTTGTACCTAAATATATTGTAATGAATTAGTGGCACATAAGAAAATATGCAAAAACATAAGTGTGACAAAAAATCTCTACAAAAATATTTTCTTATATAAGATGTTACCATAATGAGAATTAAAATTTATAATATTTTCATAAAATTTAAATTCATAAAATTATAAATAAAACAAGAGACATTGAATATATGCTGGCATTAAATAGAGTCTAAGAACTAAAATCAATTTTTAATCTTGTATAAGACACTTTTCTAAACTTCATCTTATTTAGAGATTAAAATCTAGTTTTCTAATTTAAAAGACACTTTCAATTAGCTTGAGAACATTATGAGAATAGAAATTACCGATCTCCTAAAACCATTCCTCCCAAAGACGCAACATCTCTAAGAGCTCTTCTCCACAGCTCCACCTTGTCCATCTCCTCCGTACTGAATCGCTTCTCATGTCTGGCAAATGCTTCAGCAAAAGAACCACTCTGCTTCCTGACATCAGATGGATCCACATCATAGAAAACTGGCAGAACCACATGTCTACGATCAGTATTTCTACGTTCCACGATCTTCAAAAGTTCGTTCAAACACCACCTTGAGGAAGCATAGTCCTTGGAGAAGACAATTATCGATACTTGTGACTCCTGTATCGCCTTCTCTAACTCCGACTCAATCTTCTCCCCTCTCTTGATTTCATCATCGTCTCTAAACGTGTGGATTCCTGCTAGCTCCAAGGCTCTATAGAGGTGATCAGTAAAGCCCTTGCGCGTGTCCTGGCCTCTGAAACTCAAGAAGGCATGATAGGAACACCGGTAAGAGGACGAATAAGAATCTCGGAAAGCATCCATCTAGAGAAACTCTCTGCTTCTTGGTTCTTGCAATGACTGAATGCAGGGCACGAATATGCAAGGCCGAGGACAATTATATGCAGTTTCTGAGAGGGACATATATATGAAGAGGAAGGTTCCCATTAGCCACCAGGAATTCCACACTTACTGACGAGGAAGTTTCCTTGTAAGTGAATGGGATGTTGAGATACTGAATTTGAGAGGAGTTTGACTATCAGTTTTTGTGGAGAATCCCCCACTAGCACTGCTTTGATGAAACTAGGACAAAAAATGTTACGAGGTTGAGTGAAATTTTAAATACCATAAATTGTGAAGCATTCTACACGTAAATACCATAAATTGGGAGACCATAAATTGCCCTTGAAAAGTGGGAGACCTTAAATTGTGGAGCATTCTACATGTAAATACCATAAATTGCCCTTGAAAACTTCAAAATTTACAATTAAATTAAGTACATTACATTTTACACCCTCAAGTTTGAGTGAAATTGTAACCTCATACAACATATTTAGAGCATTTCAATCTCACACACAAACTTGTATTTTATAGCAATTTCAAACATTCGTTCGTTAAACCGTTAATTTAACATTTTTTTTTTCTTTTTTTTCAAACGTTAATTTGACTTTCGGGGTTAGGGTATTTTTGGGGGCATGTGGCTTGACGTGAAGGAGTCAAATTAGAAAGAAGATTGGTGTAGGGGACTAGTTCCACAAGACACGGTGGTTGTATGGAATGGGTGGTGCTGGTGGAGAATGTAGGAAAGAAGGTGGAAATGCATGTCGTGTGCTCGGGTGGGAGAAGAGTGGGTGGGTCCCTTTTTACTTTGTTTATTATTTAGTTTTGTATTTAAATTGTTTTTATAATTAATTATTTTTATATGCCTAGTCTTTAAAATATGTGGTTCATCACTTAACAGTAAATTGACGATTTGACTAACAAATATATAAAATTGCAATAAAATACAAATTTGTGTATAAAATTGAAATATTTTAAAGATATTTAAGGTTGCAATTGCATCCAAACTTCACGGTGTAAATTGTAAATTGGTAGGTGTTTTATGATTGACAAATATATAAACAAATCTTTCGACAATCCACGTTCAGAAAACAAGCATCCTCATTATTGTCAAGTGCAATAATTCACAGAATACAAATCTGTAAAAAAACATCCAACAAGGCTACAACCTTCAAAGCGAGTCTATGAAGAGGCTCAGTGCTCACAGCTCAGTGGAAAGGAACTACCAAAGAAAATGTCATACGGGAACGTATAATCTACATCAAGACGCGAAGTAACGAGATTAACTCTAACAGAGAAAAGTAATATGAACTCAGATTCTTCCCACTCGATGTGCAACAGCATGAAAAAGAAAAGAAGCTATGACTAATCTTGCAGGGTTTAATTTTGAAACCAAATGCGATAAACAAAAGAACCACAGGTTTGCTATAAATCACTACACAAGATATAAACGAACGGGACATGCTGGTCAAAAGAACCACAGGTTTACTATTTGTGCAGCAAGTTAATCAAGTTCAGAAAATTTTCTTCTATTTTTGGAACCTATAAAACATAGCGACAAAGAAAGAGACCAAAGTGAATGATCTAGCGGTTGAAGCCAATTTCAAGAAAGGTACAAGCATACATAATTAGGAACCCAACTAAAGATAAATAAGTAAACTTACCAAGATCAACAATACTACAGGCATATCAGGACTTGATCTATAACAAAAACAAAACTTGTCATTCATGATGTGAGAGTGGTGTAGTTCAACTGTACAATTAACAGTCCCAACCGGAAAGTTTCAGACAACACAACATCATCACTGAAGCATGAGAGCACGTGAAATGTAAAGATCCAGCGAAATCCGACACCGAAAAAGATTAAGAAATAATACCTTGTCATATACGGTAATGAAGTAGTAACCATTGGGAGCACATTGAGTGCTATCCTTCAACAACCCATCAACTGTCCGAAGCTCAACCTAAAATCCCAAAATCAATTTGTTACTTGTTCGATATCCCGTATCTGGTTTAGATTAGTGACGAAAATGCAGTGAAATTTCAGGCACTAATTCCAAAAATTGTTTTACCGTGATCTGAGAATAATCCAATTTAGCATCGGTCGGCTTCCTGGCCTTGATCAGAGAAGAACTAGCCTGAGAGTTTACAGTGGCGATTACAGACTCGATCAGGTAAAAGGGTAGAATTCATTAACTCTAACAGTGAAAAAGATGAAATCTTTTACCTCGACGAAGCCGCCGCAGCCGTGGATTGAGTCGGCGAAAGTGGTAGAGAGAGAAGAGATTACGAGAAAGAAGAAGAAGAAGGCGGAGGCGTGGTCTTTGATGCCTCCCTCGTGTGAGTGTTTTTAGAGTTGCGAGACCTGATCTTCTTGGATGCAGACGGGGTTTAGTTTCAGCCATTGAGATTGATCCAACGGTATTCAATTAAATTGCTCCAGGTATCAAATAGGCAGCCGCTTGCTGGGTACCCCTTTTCCCTCCTTTCTTTCTCCACTCTTCTGCTGCAAAATCTCTCCTCATCCCTCTCACCTCTCCCCCTCTCTCTCACCTGTTCTTCTTCTCTCAGTCGTCAGGTACTCTCTCTCTATTTCTTCTCGCTCTCGTTGGCTGATATATAATTTTGTGACGTCTACCTCTAGATAACCACAACCTGAAACGCAAATCCTTGTTCTTATTTTCCTTCTGTTTCTGTTTTTAAAATAATTATTAGTATGAACTTGTGAGCATATCTGGTGAGTTTCGAAACGCAACTGGTGATTGATGTGAGGAGTTTCTTATGTTAAATTCCTGTGGCAGTGCCAAGTAATTGATTTTGTTGCTCACATTGCATTCAGATTTCTATCTTGTAGTTTCCTTTGTTTCAATCTTTATATATTTATCGGATACCGCAGTTGCTCATTTAGCTTTGTGTCTTTACATATTGGTTTTCGAAAGTTAAGTTCAAGTTTTTGTATCATTGATGTTAGTTAGACTGAATTTCGTATCTCATGTCTCCTATTGTTTCCAACTTTATATTTAATTGGAATTGGAACCACAGTTGCGATTGCCAAAGCCTTGAAGAATCTTACAAACTGTTTTTGGACATTTGAGAGTAATAGACTAGTACTGCGAATAGAGATCAATGATGTCCGAAGAGTGAAGAGTCGATTATAATTTTGTGTGCCGGACTTGTATAATATCGTTCTTCATCTGAGGGGTTTAATTGTGTCTAATGGCTACCGATGGTTTCAGACGGCAACAGGCTTCATCAACTCCGCCTCGAAAAATCAATGTCCAAAAGTTTGCAGAATCACGGGGTTCAGAGCTTGAGACACTCCATTCAATTGTATCTAACAGATTGAACAATGACTTCCGGTCTCCCTCGTGTGTCTGTGTGTTTTTAGAGTTGCGAGGAAGAAGAAGAAGGCTGAGGCGTGGTTTTTGATGCCCATTTGGCCTCCCTCGTGTGTCTGTGTGTTTTTAGAGTTGCGAGATTGGCGAGGTCGGAGAAGATGTGTTTCTCCGAAAACAACGCAGATCGAGTGAGCGCGCTGATGAATCAGTCCGAGTCCTGCGTGGATTTTTCAGTCCGATGCCTTGTTTTTCTTGGATACAGAAAGTGTTTAGTTTCAGCCGTTGAGATTGATCCAACGGTGATCAATTAACTTGCTCCAGGTATCAAATAGGCAGCCGCTTGCTCGGGTACTCTTTTTCCTCCTTTCTTCTCTACTCTTCCGCTGCAAAATCTCTCTCTCCCTCCTCTCCCTCATTCTCTCGCCAGTTCTTCTTCTCTCAGTAGTCAGGTCGTCAGGTATTCTCTCTCTCTATCTCTGCTTGCATATTCCCATGGTAAAGTTTTATTCTTTATTTTTCAATATTTGGATTGAAATTAATTAACTTTACTCTTGCTGCTCACTCTCGTTGGCAGATATATAATTTTGTGACGTCTACCTCTAGATAACCAGAACCTGAAACGCAAATCTGAAGCCATTCAGTTCCGATAATCCCGCAACCTCACATAATTTTCAGGTGAGTCTGCACTGCACTGGACTGCATCCTTGTTCTTATTTTGCTTCTGTTTCTGTTTTTAAAATCATTATTACTATGAATTTGTGAGCATATCTGGTGAGTTTCGATACACGAAACGCAACTGGTGGTTGATGTGAGGAGTTTCTTTTGTTAAATTCCTGCAGTGGCAGTGCCAAGTAATTGATTTTGTTGCTCACATTGCATTCAGAATTTCTTATCTTATTGCTTTCTTTGTCTCAATCTTTATTTATCTATCGGATACCGCTGTTGCTCATTTAGCTTTGTGTTTTTACATATTGGTTTTCAAAGGTTAAGTTGACGTTGTTGTATCATTGATGTTAGTTAGACTGAATTTCGTATCTCATGTCTTCTATTGTTTCCAACTTTATATTTAATTGGAATTGGAACCACAGTTGTGATTACTAAGCTTTGAAGAATCTTACAAATTGTTTTTGGACATTTCAGAGTAATAGACTAGTACTTCGAATAGAGACCAATGATGTCCGAAGAGTGAAGAGGCAATTATAATTTTGTGTGGCAGACTGGTATAATATCATTCTTCATCTGAGGGGTTTAATTGTATCTAATGGCTACCGATGGTTTCAGACGGCAACAGGTTTCATCAGCTCCACCTTGAAAAATCAATGTCCAAAAGTTTGCAGAATCACGGGGTTCAGAGCTTGAGACACTCCATTCAATTGTATATAACAGATTGAACAATGATTTCCGGTCTCGGAGAAGCAAGAGAAGAAGAACCACTGCTTACGACAATCAAGCCGCCAAAAAAAGATGTAGAAAGAAGCAAAAACTTGATCGGAGTAATGCTTTGACATTGCCTCCAGAGAAAGATGACAAGAAGAATGTTCCTCGTTGCATTCGTCGGAAAGCTGAGCTTAAAATGAACCTTGAAAAGGGTTTCTGCACATCAGGGGATGGTACAAAGAGGCTTAGAACACATGTTTGGCATACAAAGCGGTTCACAATGACAAAGCTTTGGGGTTACTACCTTCCCTTGGGTGTGCAGGGCATGTAAAGCGCATTATTAATTTAGCAGTGCTATTCCTTACTTTTCGCTTATTATTTGTTCTATTTCTCGATAAATAACTGATTCGCTTGTAAATCTATTTTATCAAACAAAAAAACAATAAAATGTAGAGGAAGGGGGTCCAGAGATGTCTTGAAGTGGTTCAGGGATGGAGTGCTTGTTCATGATGCAAGCTATCATGTAGCTATCCAATTGGAGGGCCCGGAGGCAGGCATTTACTTTCTATCTTATGAATTTATTCCTAAGAAATTGTTTACCTTTTAATTTATTTTTCTTCAAAAGGAAAAGTGTTGCAATATGTTATTTTCTGCTACTAAATTATGATGTTACACCCTACTTCATATGCATCCAGGATTCGTTACTATCAGTGTTAGGCATGGTAATGGTGTCTCCTCAGTCAACTCATTCTGAAAATGTTTCCCATTCTGTTATTTCTGGTGTCATATATGATAATGCTATGGTAAGTTATCCTTTTACACTTTTCTTTGTGAATGTGGATGACTTGAGGTATTGACTTGATGACTGATTTTTCGCAGCTTCATCATTTGGGAGCACCTCTTTCAAAACCAATTGCTCCTGTGAACTGTATGTGGCGGCCTTCTGGCCAACCAAATAGAGATAATAATGCAGCTGACTGTGAAGGCGATGAATTCAATGGACTAGAGGGTACAAAGCACTCTTCTACTGATCGGCAGCTTTGGGTGTGGATACATGCTTCTGCTCTCACTGAAGCTTATGACACTTTGAAATTAGCTTGCCAAAAAGAGGTACCCATTCTTTCTTTTTGTTCACACAAACATCAATATCTAGTGTATAGAGGCTTGATCTCATCTGACTTCACGCCAGAAGGAAGGAAATGATGATTTATGGATCTTAAGATAGAATGCAACAGTCCTGGTTTGGTATTTAATACTTTGAGTGAATGATGATTTATGGCAATACTGAAACTCGTCTACTTTTATGCTTTGTACTTGATTCTCTGATAAGCCAACATTTTTTTCAAATGCTACCCTCAAGTGGTTTTTGTGCTGTGCTTATGTGTCAAAGTTCGCCTCTAGTCTAGACTTGGTAGATGTCAGAATAAAGAACTATTAATGTTAGATTATACTACATGTTCTCAGTAGATTATTTGCTGTTATTCATATAATGCTTTATTATCTTAGATGGAGGGCAGGGGCATCGTGATTAATTGTTCCTCACTTGAGGGTCAACTTGCAAAATTAGAATGTGTGGGATCAAAAGCATTTCAACTCCTTCAAGGGACATTAATCCCTGCTACCAGGTGAGTTACGGAGAGGATTTCATTGACTTAACCAAGTATTGAGGTTAAAGATGGCTAATTTTGTTGTCTGGCTGAATAGGACTAGAGATACTTCTTGGAAGTTGATGAGACATTCAGCTGCCGAGGCAGATGAGGATTCCCAATCTACAATTCATCTTAAAAGCGAGGAGAAATTCCTTCTCATGCAATTTTGTCCCTTAATGTCAAGGATCCTCGCACATTAACAGAGAAGGGAAACACTGCAGATGCTCAAGATTTAGGTTCAGCTAGTATACTAGGTGATGTACTAGGAACTGAAGACAAAAAGCATGTTATCTTTGGACGATTTTCAGATAAACCTGCAGGTAGTGGCAAGATCAGCGCAAACAATTTGTGGGATGTTAGCAGTGGAGTAAGCCCTCCAGTGGAAGAGGCTGTTCTTTGCAAGGAAAAACATGACAAGAATAGGAGTTTCTTCTGCCTTGATAACGTTTCAAAGGCTGGGCATCCAGTTCTCTCATGTGGCTCCCGTTGGATCCAGTATGCTTTTGCTGCTGCCAATCTACAGGTAAAGCTTAAATTTACATACAATTTTTTTTTATTTTTCTTGATTGGAATTTGAGCTTTTGTTCCTCCTTAATCCCAAAGTTCTGTAATTTATGCAACTTCGATCGAAAGACATGTTTTTTATTGCAGAAAATTGTTAACCCCAGTTGAGGTATTCATTTGCTCATTAAAATGGCGTTTTGGATTCCATAACTGAACCTCCTTGCTCCTCTTTTTAACTCTAGAATCTTCAGAATATATGTGGGTTCTGCTTTGAATTTGATAAACCTCTCTGTGTTTGTGAGCTGGTACAGTTTTTGGGTACCAAGTCAAAATTTTGTTGGATAGGAACCCATAAACAAGTATGAGGAAGTGTGTGAATCATCACTCAGCAAGGGTGATTGGCGATAGAAATTGGGTTATTCCATTCATTACTGGCTTTATCATATTCATTACCCTCTTTTTCTTAAAAGGGTTTTGGCTTTGGGAGGAGATGGAGATCGGTGACAATGATCGGAGTTCGTCGCTGTGTGGATGATCCCAGTGTAGCGCTGGTTTTCAACTCTGGTGATTTGTAGGGTTTTGGGGGCATGAATTTTGGGGAATTTCGTTTGGATTTCTGGGTAAGCAATTGTCACCTCTATTCAACTTAAATTTAGTTCCCTTTTTTTGTTTCTCAAATTTGTTTGATGGAAAGATTGTTTTATCCTTTACTAAACAGTTGTTTAGGATTAATAATTTTGATTTCTTTTGAATTTATTTTTTATTTTATTTTGAAGCCCTGAATTTTGCAAGGACTGTCTACCCTGTAGTACACCAGATGCTCCTGAAATTTCAAATAAGGTAACTTTCCAAACACTGATGTTTCGCTTTTTTACTGGTATATGTAATCCATTGAGTTCTGTAACTTTACTAATATTCGTTTACTATGCAAGTTAAATTGTTATTTTTTGGTTTGTCAATAATTTTGCTTTTCTACTCTACATCCTGGATTAAGAGGTTGCCATGTCAAGGAGTGGAGTTCAAGTATTGCTTAATAGATAACAGTTGTTTTTAATCTTAGTCTGTAATCTGTATGGTCTTGATCATGTCTGTAATGTGTATGCAAAAGAAATCAGATTGTACAAGATCGTACTTGTAAAAGTCCCCGTAGCGGAGCGCAGGCATTTTTGCTCGTTCATACTCTTATCTAGGCAAGAACTTGTTTGGTATGGAATTTTATTAAATTCTTGAAAACAATTTTTTAGGAGGAAACAGAAAATAGATAGAAACGAAAGCTTAACAACCAATGCACATCTGAATCTAGTGATTTGGGCATCACCAACATCAATTAAACTGGGTTATTTTGGCTAAAAAGGCGACAATTTTGGCTAAAAGTCCGAAAGCCGACAACCCACTGCAGTAGAGCCTCTCGGAAGATCTATCCTGCCACTGTTACAGAAATAGTATTCAGCCGCGCACATGACAGTTGAAATTACTTTCTTGTCGCAGCTATGGATGCATTGAACCCCCGTCTCCACACCCCCCGGAACACGGGTTCTTGTGGTTGCATCTTCACTACTTGATGGGACATCCTCCTTATCCTTATTTCGCTGCTCGTACACAAACTGGACTCCAATCTCCTTTGTGAGGAAACCGTCTTGCTCGTCGATTATTTCAAAACACACTTCTTCCCCGCATTCCAATTCATTGTTCCCCATGATCCAACGGCTAAGCCATAACATATCTTCATTCATCAATTTCCATCCAACCTTACGCCACACACGCCATTTCCACTTAAGGCCCTTTGTCTCATTCCTAAGTTCAAGCGAATGGTGATCATGGCCACGTGGAACCTCAAGGCTCCGATTCGACTGCCGTGCATATACTACACATGCGTTTAAACCTACGATCTTGAGATTAAGATGTGAAGGAACAATCATAGAGAACACAGTGTTACCCATGCTCCTGTAATTGAACCCCTCTGGAATCTTGCTCCCATGAACAAATATGCTCAATATGCAGCAGCTAAAAGTTCCCTGCAGTTTCATGGTGATGTTGTCATTACAATCTAATCGTTTACGCCATAGAGATCTTATTCACCATGTTATAAGCACTTGTACATAAGAGAGAGAGAGAGAGAGAGAGAGAGAGAGAGAGAGAGAGAGAGAGAGAGAGAACCTGGACGCCTAAACTCTCACAACAGTTCCCTTGGACCTCAATGCCACCTTTGGGTTCCAAATCGAATAGATATGAGAGATATGAGTCCAATGCTAGTGTATCCAACAAGGTTCCAAAATCAACAAGTTTCCCACAATACCATAGCCTTGGGTCCACTACTATGCTAGAAGACCCGTAATCTAAGTCCGGTGACCTTGGTGAATTTGTTATTCTTTTCAATGATGTGCAACCTAGACCATACAATTGTGTCACACTACGTGGGAGCTCTGGAAGCATTGAAAGGTTTCTGCAACCAGATACTTCAAGAGTCTGGAGCTTAACAAGATTGTTCATGCTTTCTGGTAGGCTTGTAATCGGATTCTTATGCAGAGACAAGTACTCTAACGAGGACAGCATAGTTAGGGCACTTGGAATCTCTGATATATTGCAGCAAGCCAGCCTTAAACTTGTCAAAGAACGTGGGAGCTCTGCAAGTGTTGTGAGGTTTCTGCAACCAGATACATTAAGAGTCCGGAGCTTAACAAGATTGTTCATGCTTTCTGGTAGGCTTGTAATCGGATTACCATACAGATTCAAGTACTCTAACGAGGACAGCATAGTTAGGGCACTTGGAATCTCTGATATATTGCAGCAATCCAGACTTAAACTTGTCAAAGAACGTGGTAAACTTGCCAATGAGAAACTGCTTAATTCAGTATTTTTTCTTGGCGACACCCATGACCAGACTGAATACCATGATTTAGCTGATACCAGATTGAGTTTCTTCATTTCAAGCTTTGAGCAACCAGAAAGAATAAGATCCTGAATAGATCTCAATATTGGAAGCTTCATGAGATTTTTGCAGCCTTTTAGATTCAAAACAACAAGTTTTTCTAGGTGTCCGATGGACTCATGAACCTCAACCAAATTTATGCAATGTTTAAGAATCAACCTCTCAAGGTTATAGAGTCCTGAGAAGTCGGGGATTGTCCTAAGGCCATGCGAATGACTGAAATTAAGAATCTTCAGCCTCGGAATAACCTGTTTCAATAATAATACAAATTAATTAGCTTCTAAGAAGATATAATGGCCCCTATTAATACAAATTAATTAGCTTCTAAGAAGATATAATGGCCCCTATTCATTTGTGTGTGTGTGTGTGTGTGTGTGAGAGAGAGAGAGAGAGAGAGAGAGAGAGTTACATACCCTGGTCCCATTCCAAACATGTTGTAGGCTACTATTTCGCATGTCAAGAACAACCAGGTTTTCCAAACAAAAATTTTCTGGTATTGATTTTAACTGGAATCCTCGCCAAGATAAACATACTAAATTTTTTGAAAATTCTTCGTAGCTTCCCCTGATGTTGACGTTGTTGAGAATGAGAATTTCAAGATTGTTCATCCTTCTAAACGCCTCAGATTTGAAATCTATCTCATTTGATGCAGAAGCTGAGTTTGTGGAGGAAAAGCTAATTGGCTTCCAAGAGAAGAAACCAAGCCGACGTCGTCTTGAACAATTTCCATCATAATCTTCAACATGGCATCGTTTTTCATCACTTCCAACAAACGTTGTTTTGCTAGCAAGGTTGAGCATGAGGCCCTTAATATTTTCCGTACCCTGCTAACAAATCAGAGAATTGGGTAAGTATATAACTAGTACTGCACATGCAAATCATAACGAAAAATACATAAACATGAAAAACATAGTTCTTACACTTAATTTTCTCAAAATATTAGAGGCATCTTTCTGCAACACTCTACTACGTTTTCCAGGGTCATGAGGTGATTCTTCGCGAATAATTGCCATTGCCATGTTTCTCACCGATTGATGCATGACCAACCTGTTCCACCCCCATTCCATTTTCAGTAGACATCTATCAACTAGATTTTCAATCCCAATCCTTGTGCAAAACTCTAAGTTGTCCAGTATTGTAATTGTATAATCCATCGTCTTTCCTGTGAAGAAACTGGCTATATGAAGGAATAAATTTTTGTCATGATCATCTTGTAAAGAATCAAAACTTATCCTCAGAACTTTTTGAATTTTGTCATTAGGGATCACGTCTAACTTCTGCAATGCACTTTGCCATACTTCTACACTTTTTCCAGATAGAGAAGATCCCAGAACTTGAAGAGCTAATGGAAGTCCTCCACAGTGCTGCACCACATGTCTTGAAAGCTCCTTGTAACCTTCTTCTGGATGGGATTGTCTGAAGGCATGCCAACTGAAAAGCTCAAGTGATTCATACTCATTCAGTTCTCGAACCATAAACTTTTCAAAAACATCATGAGCATTTAACAAATGTTCATGTCGAGTTGTTACGATAATTTTACTTCCTGGATGAAGCCACTCTCGCATTCCAAGAATTGCATTGAGTTGATCCCGGTTGCTCACATCATCAAGAACAATAAGAACCTTTTTATAACCTACGGCTTGTTTGATCATGATTGTTCCTTCATCCATATTGTATACTTTCTTTGCTTTCCCCTTTTGGATATCTGAAAGAAGTTTTCTTTGCAAGAGAGCAAAACCATTGGGTTGTTCTGAAGATTCTCGTATATCTGCAAGAAAGCTGCCACCCTGAAATCTATCATAGTTGCGGTTATAAGCGGCTTTCGCGATGGTGCTCTTGCCAATTCCACCCATCCCACAGATGACAGCTAAACCAACATCATTTGATCCATCTTGTAACCACATGTTTAGGCGTCTCACACGATTATCCATTCCAACTGCAAAGGGAGCAACGTCTAAAGCTGCGTGATCCACTCTATTTCTAATCTCTCCAACGATATCTTGGATGAACTGCCCCTCATACCTGTAATTCATTTGAATCAAAATACATGACGCGGAAATAAGCGTGAGAACATATAACCAAAATCGATAGGAACATATAAACCAAAATCGCAGTATATATAGGAGCATATAAACCAAAATCGAACAACTTCAAGCTTCACTGCCATCTACAATTTTTCTTAATTTAAAACTCAAGACACTTTCAATTAGCGTGAGAACATAATGAGAATAGAAATTACCGATCTCCTAAAACCATTCCTCCCAAAGATGCAACATCTCTAAGAGCTCTTCTCCACAGCTCCACCTTGTCCATCTCCTCCGTACTGAATCGCTCCTCATGTCTGGCAAATGCTTCAACAAAAGAACCACTCTGCTTCCTGACATCGGATGGATCCACATCATAGAACACTGGCAGAACCACATGTCTACGATCAGTATTTCTACGTTCCACGATCTTCAGAAGTTCGTTCAAACACCACCTTGAGGAAGCGTAGTCCTTGGAGAAGACAATTATCGATACTTGTGACTCCTGTATCGCCTTCTCTAACTCCGACTCAATATTCTCCCCTCTCTTGATTTCATCATCGTCTCTAAACGTGTGGATTCCTGCTAGCTCCAAGGCTCTACAGAGGTGATCAGTAAAGCCCTTGCGCGTGTCCTGCCCTCTGAAACTCAAGAAGGCATGATAGGAACACCGGTATGTGGAGGAAGAAGAATCTCGGGAACTTTTAGCAACCATCGAGAGAAAACTCCAGATCTTAAGAACGTACTATGGGAAGAAGATAATGGTGCTCAAAGTCAAGTAGTCAACCTCCTTATCTCTTATCCCACCCGACTTCACACGAATTCGACACGTAACATAAGATGAGGAGATAAAAATTAAAAGTACCAATTGACGTATAGGTGTAATAATTACGTTAATATTTGTCATAATTGTCTTTTTGTTTTTCTCTTCCATCTTCATTTGGACAAAGTAAACAATCTGTATTTTTATTCAACGTTCACTGAATTTAGTGATTTCTTCAAGCTAAGCAAATCAAACCCAATCCAATCTTCGAAATCGCACAAGGCCATTTTGTATCATATTAACAGTAATATTGTTATTTTTTTTTTAACAAATGATATTACTTACGCTAAGGAAAAAATGTTTGAACAATAGTAATTGTTAAGTTATGAAGTAATTCGGAATGATCAATATAAATAACATATGAAGCAGAGATGTGAAACACCATATTTTTTTAACACACATTTTTGTAAGACCCACTTTATAATGTATTTAATGATCCAAGCCGTCTATCTTTTAAATTATCAACTATTTGTGCAGCAAGTCGATCCAGTTTACAAAATCTTATATTTCTTTTAACTTAAAAACACAGGGACAAAGAAAGTGACCAAGATCAACAATAATACAAGCATATCAAGACTTGATCTACAACAGAAACAAAACTTGTCATTCACATTGTGAGAGTGGTGGAGTTCAACTGGACGGTTAACAGTCCCAACCGGAGCGCCGCCGCCTTTCTCTAGGTTTATCTCTACAACTGCAATAGACAAATGAAACTGATCAGCACCAATCAGATACGTAAAGACATTGAAAATTCTAACCGAGCATCAGTTTTATAAACCTTTCGGAGGGTTTCTGACCTGAATTTTCTCCAGTGTTCTGAGCAGCAGTTTTATTTGCCACTGATGTAGGAGGAGCAGGAGTAATTGTACTGGCTGTCTGAGTTCTATATACATCACCACCTATTGAACCACCGGATACAAATCCTCGTAATGCCGGTCTGTTGGGCACACTAGAGTTGTTACCTGAACCTTCACTTGGAGAGTTAGATGAAGCAGCAACAAATTTAGTCTTGAACTGAGACATCATTCCTGTCCTCTGAGGAGTTACTGCAGCAGATCGACTAGGAACAGTATTCGATGAAGAACTATTGGACTCCGTATTATATCCAATACCCAGACCAAAATCCACCCCACGCACACCTCGACCACCGCCGCCCCTCCCTCTACCTTTCTTTCCACCTGCAGAATCCATATAATATCATCGTTTGAGTTATAGAAAAAGGCTAATTTAATATGAAATTGCAAAAGAATCTTAAGAAAATTGAAATTTTAATATGATTAAAGTTTGTACCTCCTTTTCTTGAATCACGTTTTGACCTGAATCTACCATCCTGATAATAGACAAGGTAAATCCCATTAAAATAGAGAATGTAAGATCTGAAATCTAACATCTCATGCTAACATCTAAAGCTATCAAACAAGAAACATAGTAAGGGAAAGCAACAAAAGTTCCACAGACGAGGTGCACCCAAAATAACTATAAAGATGCACATCCATGTAGGAGATGGAAACCAGTGTATTTATGAGGGATGTGAAATACAAAGCTACAAGCAGCAAGCAAGAATTAAAAGTCACAAGACTGAAGAAATGATGCATGAGTGGGTCTCATAGTGTAAAACTCCTAAAACCGATGCAGGTGCAGCCACCTATCATGATAAGCTGTGCATTTATGTATATGAGATATATTGGCACAAGGGAAAATAAGTGACAATTTACTAAGAGTCCATGTGGTAATTAAGATTTAGTACTTAAAATGCGATTTTTCTCTTTGTTCTTTAGTGCAAATTGGTTGGCCTCAACCGATGTATTGGTAGCCCAGAATGCAAGCGAGTACTTAATAATACATAAAAAGCTAATAAGTCCCCAGATTGAGCTTCATCTTCAATTCATCTCTATGCTTCAATACACAACCCAACAAGCCAACATACACCCCCCAACAACCCCTTTTCTATGCAGAGCATGGTACGAACTAAAGATGGGACTACTAAAGACTGTCTAATTACTCTCTCTCTAAACTAAGCAATTCGATGGACGTGCATGTCCATGTCTTTTGCAATATCAAAGTTCACAAATGACTTAATTGACTTGATGTCAAGACCACGAGCAGCAACATCAGTTGCAACAAGAACATGGTAAATGCCAGAATTAAATTTTTGCAAAATATCCATCCGAGATGCCTGCTCATTGTCACCATGCAGAGCTGTGACTTTAAAACCTTTCTGAGCAAGCTGTGACTCGATCTCATCCACCGCAGCTTTTTTTGAAGCAAATACTAGAACATCACCCTCATCAATCATTCCAGGTAACTTCTCAAGAAGCCAGGGCAGCTTCTCATCATCAGAAGGAATTACATGAACAACCTGAGTGATATCCTCATTGGCCATTCCCACCTCACCCACTGCAACTCTTATAGGATCTGAGAGAATCTCCCTAGCCAAAATTTCAACTTTACGGGGCATTGTCGCAGAAAAGAGCAATGTCTGTCGGTCTGGCCGAATCTGACCAACAATAGATCTAATTTGAGGCTCAAACCCAAGGTCAAACATCCGATCAGCCTCATCAAGTACTAGGTAAGTTGCCCTTTGCATTGTCAGTGCCGTCATTTTAAGCATGTCTATCAATCTCCCAGGAGTAGCAACAACTATTTCACGTCCTGCCTTAAGTTCTTTGAACTGATCAAGCTTAGACATTCCACCATATACAGCAGAGACATGTATGCCATGTGATTTCGCAAATTTTTTGGACTCTTAAGTATATTTGGTGTGCCAGCTCTCTAGTAGGAGCGCATATCACTCCAATGGGACCTTCCTCTTTTTGAAGTTCTGGCTGATCCATAATGTGGACAATCATTGGAAGGACAAAAGCGGCAAGTCTATCCAGAACCAGTTTTCTCAATTCCAATTATCTCTCCCGGAAAGAACTATGGGTAGAGCTGCGCATTGTATTGGTGTCGGCTTTTGGTAATCTTGTTTTTTTATGGTAGCCATGAGTTGTGAAGAAAATCCACAATCTTCAAATGTCTTAACTGGCCTCGGTACATCAAAACCCAACTTACGGATGGCCAAGCTCTTCTTGTACTCAAAAACATCCTCCTCACTCTTCCCTAAACAAGGAAAACAAAACACCAGTTAACTCTAGTCTTCCATTTCAAATGTCTCCTTGAGAACTTCTGCCGGTCTATATTCTCTCTCACTCAAATTTAAATACTTTGCTACGCATTTCGACTAAATTCACAAAAAATAAAAACAAAAATGTGGATGGAAAGAAAAAAAGAAAGAAACAAAATTCTCAGTTCGGTTGGAATTTACCTGAAATCGACTATTTCTCCTCGTAAAAATCCTTATTAAACGGCTCGTAGTCGATTGAACTATGATCGAGAGCTGGAAACGGCTCGATCTTCCTCTTGTCCAGAACAATGGGATTATCATCTGAATCGTACTCCAACAACCCAGCATCGACCGCCTTGGCGGTCGCATCGGAGTCATATCGGAGGGCTTCTGACTTGTATTTTCAGTATACATCACCACCGATTGAACCACCAGATGTAGGAGGCGCAGGAGTATTTGTACTGGTTGCCTGAGTTCTATATACATCACCACCGATTGAACCACCGGATACAAATCCTCGTAATGCTGGTATGTTGGGCACACTAGAGTTGTTACTTGAACCTTGACTTGGAGAGTTAGATGAAGCGGCAACAAATTTCGTGTTGAACTGAGACATCATTCCTGTCCACTGAGGAGTTACTGCAGCAGATCGACTGGGAACAGTATTCGGCAAAGAATTATTGGACTCTGTATTATATCTAATACCTAGACCAAAATCCACCCCACGCACACCTTGACCACCGCCGCCCCTTCCTCTACCTTTCTTTCCACCTGCAAACTCCATATAATATCATCATTTGAAATTCTAGAAAAAGGCTAATTTAATATGTAATTGCAAAAGAATCTTAAGAAAATTGAAATTTTAATATTTTTAAAGTTTATACCTCATTTTCTTGAATCCGTTTTGACATGAATCTACCATCCTGATCGTAAACAAGGTAAATCCCATTAAAACAAAGCATGTAAGATCGGAAAATCTAACATCTCATGCTAACATCTAAAGCTATCAAACAAGAAACATAGTAAGGGAAAGCAACAAAAGTTCCACAGACGAGGTACTTGCACCCTAATAACCATAAAGATGCACATACATGTAGGAGATGGAAACCAATTGAAGAGTGTTGAATAAGAAGAGTATCCAAGATAACTCTAATGATCCCAAGAAGAAGAAAATAGAGCACACTCTTAAAGAAAGCTCACAAAACAAACTAATTAGCAAAGCTTTTCTTATTTAGCTCTAGGCTTTGTTTTTCCTTGGATGATATACAATGCTTGGGGATTTGGGTATTTATAGCAAACCAAATGAAAGCTACACCACACACTTAATTAAACTAAGATTATTTAGTACCACACAAAACCCATTAGTTGCACCTAATTTTTTCCACTCAACCATACCTAACATTGCAATTGTAAGCAATTACATCATCAAACTAGATATGGACTTGGACTTTAGATTGGGTTGTGGATTACTTATGGTTTTGGGCTTGACATTGATTCTCAACACTCCCCCTCAATGTCAGCTCTCATTCTTTGCACTGTGCTGAGCAGACAGCGAAAATTTTCGAGCTTGCCTGTACTTAAACTTTTTGTGAACAAGTCCGCAACTTGATCATTCGTCTTGACCTGTCTCATCTCAATCTCTTCTTGTAGAACCTTTTCTCTGATAAAGTGGTAGTGCACTTCCACATGTTTAGTTCTTGCATGAAAGACTGGATTTTCCGCCAAACGAATGGCCGATTGGTTATCACAGTACAATGGTACTGGATAATCTACTGGTTGATGTAGATCACTCATCAACTGT